GCTCGCCCCGGCCAGTTGAGGAGGGTTTAGGGTTTGGGCCAGCTACGCAGCCTAAACCCTAAACCCTAAACCCTAAACCCCAGCGCCGCGTGGGGATAATGGCGGCTACGCGGCCTAAACCCTAAACCCTAAACTCTAAACCCTAAACCCTAGGCCTCAAACTTGGGGTCTTCCTGCTGTTGCCTGTTTCTTTGCTTGTGCTGCCCACAGCTAGCTGTAGCTAGCCACAGCTAGCCACAGCGAGACGCAGCAGAGTGCTCTCTGGCCTTGGCTAGCTAGCTAGCTAGCTAGCTAGCTAGCTGCACAGCTGCATCTCGCAGCAGCTAGCTATGGCTAGCCACAGCCAGCTCTACAGCCCCGCCCTAACAGCCTGGGCTAGCTAGCTAGCTGGCTAGCTAGCTAGCTAGCTAGCAATCTACAGCTGCAGCTAGCCACAGCTAGCGCAGAATCCTATGACCTGGGCTAGCTAGCTAGCTAGCTAGCTAGCCAGCTAGCTAGCTAGCTGCAGCTGCAGCTAGCCACGGCTAGCTAGAGCCAGTAACAGCTAGCCAGAGGGCACTGAGGGTCCAAAGCGGAGGCCACCTGACTGCCATCTAGGGTTTAGGGTTTAGGGTTTAGGGTTTGCGGCCAAAGGCTTCGAGGCTACGGTTTAGACTGTTGCATCTCCCGTGCAGTCTTTGCACGGAAAGAGCTTGGCTGGCCTTCAGCTCGAGGGTTTAGGGTTTAGGGTTTAGCGTCTAGGGTATAGGGTTTAGAGTCTAGGGTTTAGGGTTTAGGGTTTAGAGGGAGTCGAGTGCCTCCTTAATGGACTTCTGGTTGAGGAGGAAGTTGAGGGAATACTCTGCTTTTTCCTTCGTGCTAAGAGCATCTGCGCAGACACAAACCCTAAACCCTTAACCCTAAACCCTAAACCCTTGGCTGCAGTCCCCGCGCCAGCTCCCCGCTGCTGCTGCAAACGCATGCAAGGGTTTAGGATATAGGGTTTAGGGTTTAGGGGTGGCTGCGACAAGAAATCCAGGGCGGCAGAAGCCCTCAGCCTCTTACGCAAGTGACGAGGGTTTGCGGCAAACCCTAAACCCCAAACCCTAAACCCTAAACCCTAAACCCTACCGTATTTCTGGTTGCAAAAGGACTGCAGCAAATTCTTCGTAAAGGCCCCAGAGGCCTCCAGCCGCTGAGGGTTAAAGCGAGCGCGAATTAAGTTGGCGTCTAGTAAACCCTAAAGGCCCACAAACCCTAAACCCTAAACCCTAAACCTTAAACCCTAAACCCTAAACCGTAAACCCTAAACCCTCGCGCCGTTCGTGGCTGCCGCCCTCTCTTCGGGAGACTCTGTTCGCTTCTTTGCCTCTGTCGCAGGTGTGTCCCCCCAAACCCTAAACCCTAAACCCTAAACCCTCACCAGAATAATGGTGTTGTTTATTTTCGCCAAATCTCCGCATAAGAGATATGGCCTTCTGAGAAATTCGCGGATCGTCTCGCACACCTAAAAACACAAATCCAAAACCCTAAACCCTGAACCCTAAACGCCAAACCCTAAAACCTAAACCCTAAACCCTAGGCGCTCATCACTTGGTCTTGAAACACCCTTAGTCCCATAATTTTCATTAATTTAACGCTCAGCCGGATTTTTTGTCAAGCAGGATTTCCCTGCATCCCTAAACCCTAAACCCTAAACCCTAGCTCACAACAACAAGGAAATGGACTTCGTTTTTGCTGACTTCCCGCAGTTTCCTTAAAAGAGGAAAATTCAGAAACTGAAGGACCATTAACTCAAACCGACGAAACTCCTGACACACGCAAACCCTAAACCCTAAACCCTAAACCCTAAACCCCTCGCAGCAAGAACTGCTACTGGCGCACCGAGACCTTAATTCTTAAAAGCAGCGCGTAAGAATAAACCTGAGCCTAGTGTCCTTGGCTCTGCTCCTCAAACCCTAAACCCTAAACCGCAAACCCTAAACCCTAAACCCCAGATCTTACCTCAACTAGAAGCGTCTCCGACATAACCCTCAGCCTCTGCTGCTGCATGCGATGCACTTCCGAAAACTTATTAATAACATCTGCAGGGGGCCCCCCTTGTTCGTGGGGGCCCCCCGGGGGGCCCCCCAGGGGGGGCCCCCAGGGGGCCCCCGGGGGGCCCCCCAGGGGAGCCCCCAGGGTACCCTGGGGGCCCCCCATTAAGGGGTTTGGCCTAAATGGAGTGGCAGCAGCACGCAGGAGCTCTCCTTGGAAAAAAGCATTTCTTTTTAGAATTGAAAAGTCCAGGGGGGGCCCCTGAGGGGCCCCCGAAGAGGGTTTAGTGTTTTTTGAAAAGGGTTTATTATCCCCCGAAAAGGGTTTGTCGTCGTCAAAGTCTCGAGCTGCTGCTGCGGGGGCCTCCGAGGGTTTAGGGTTTGGGCGAGAGAGCTGCTGCAGCAGCTCTGCAGTTGCTTTATGTAGGTCGCTGCACCACAAACCCTAAACCCTAAACCCTAAACCCTAATCTGGCGCTGGCAGGAAGCGTCTGGTGCAGGCAGGGACTTTCAGCAGTGTCTAAACCCTAGGCCCCGAGCCCTAAACCCTCAGGCTTGACCCCCAAAATCCCGACTCCCAAACCCTAAACCCTAAACCCTAAACCCTAAACCCTCACTCGAAGATCAGCCGCAGCAGCCTGGGGTGGCCTCCAACCGCTAAGTAGGAGGCCTCAGCGACAGTCGAGTCAGCGCAGAGCAGCGGCTCAAACAAAACCCTAAAACACCCCAAACCCTAAACCCTAAACCCTAAACCCTAAACCCTAGCCCCTGAGCCCTTGGCCCCAAACCCTAAACCCTGAAGCTTGGGCCCGAAACCCCAAAATGCGAGACAGGAACATGCAGGAAAGGCCCCGATAGTGACTCCAAACCCTAAACCCTATACCCTAAACCCGAAACCCTAAACCCTAAACCCTAAACCCTAACCTGGCGTCTGCCTTGCTGAGCTCATCGAGTTCGAGCACCTGAACCCTGCTAGGGTTTGCGCCTTGAGGTGTATGTACACCCCAAACCCTAACAGCAGTTACGCTGTCTGCAACAGCCAAGACTGTGCCCACTCGGCGTCTTTCCTGAGTCCCAAAAAAAGGGTTTAGGGTTTAGGGTTTAGGGTTTAGGGTTTGGCAGGGAAGCGCCCTGTGCGGGCACAGCAGCGCCTCCTAAGACTAACGCGCTCTCAACTTAGCACCCAAACGCCGCCCCAAACCCTAAACCCTAAACCCTAAACCCTAAACCCTAGCTCACTGCTGTTGCAGCCTCAATAAGAGCTTCAAAAAAACCCGAACCTCCAAGCCGCAGCGGCTCTCCCTCAAGCAGCGCTTCTGGGCACCGCAGCAGCAGCGTCCCCGGGCGCTGCGCCACAAACCCTAAACCCTAAACCCTAAACCCTAAACCCTAAACCCTAAAGCTTAAACCCGAGGTCCTATTCCCTAGGCCTTGGTCACAAGCGACTGCTTGTTACGCCTCAGGCAACAAGTGGTGCATGCAAGCACATGGGGTTTAGGGTTTAGGGTTTAGGGTTTGGGGTTTAGGGTTTAGGGTTTAGAGGCTTGCCCCTGTGGACTGTTCCGCAAACTCCAAGGTGGCGTACAGACACTCCAGCCACTGCAGAACAAACCCTAAACCCTAAACCCTAAACCGTAGCCCGAAAACCCTAAACCCTAAACCCTAAATAAAGGTTTGTATTCAAACGACGCGCTTAGGTCCAGCGATCAATTGTGCCGTGGTATGAGGCAAAGGCTGCTATGGTTAAGGGTTTAGGGTTTAGGGTTTAGGGTTTGCGTCACCTCCTTTGCAGCTGCTGCTGTCAGCTCCCCTCCAGTTCTTACCAAAGCAGCCTCACTCAGCAGCTGCAGCGCAGCCCTGTGTACACACCTAAACCCTAAACCCTAAACCCTAAACCCTAAACCCCAAAAGCTAAAGCGCTAAACCCCAAGCCCAAGCCCTGTGCTCGGTAATCAGCAAGTCCAGCGGGTTACAAAAGGCTTAACCCGCAGCACAAACCCTAGACCCTAAACCCTAAACCCCAAACACTAAACCCCAAACCCTAAACCCTAAACCCTAAACCCTAAACCCTACGCAATGGCAGTGGCGGGGGT